CTGTGTTGCAGCTCATGCCTGCTCCCTCCATCCTACCACTGAGTCTGGCTGTATCTTCGCCAGATCCTCCACCAAGGCAGCTGGAGGCAGCAGCCACATGTCTCCTTCACCTTCTCTTCCGCAGGTTGGCCCAGCCCACCTCGCTCAGCCTCTCCTTGTATGTGCTGTGCTCCAGACCCTGACCAGCATCGTGTTCTCCACTGGGCTCTCAGTGGTTTGTCAGGAACTTTTTGTACTGGGGAGCCCTGAACTGAACCCAGCTCTCCCAACATGGTCTCACGAGTGCTCCCGCGAGCTGGTGACTGCCCTTTGCTAGCCCAGACCAGGATGCATCCACCTGCCTTTGCTGCAGAGGCCCTCCGCTGACCCATCTTCAGCTTGTTTCCTGCTGGACGCTCGGCTTTTCCTGCAATGCTGCCTTCTCCCTGCAAGCCCAGTCTGCCCAGCTGCACAGGGTTAGCCCAGCCCAGTGGCGAGATTTTGCTTTGCCTTGGCTGAATATCAGGAGGTTTGTGCTACCCCATCCTGAAGCTGCTGTGGCCTCTTTGAATAGCAGCTCCAGCATAACAATCTGTCCCCAAACCTTTGCTGTCCCTAAAACTTGCACATCATCACTGATATTGGGCATCACTGGGACTGATGCATCTTTACAGATTTCAGGAGATGCTGACCCTGGCAGCTTGAGAAGCTTCCCACCTTCAGGCCACCAGACACTTCCCATCAGCCCTGTTGGGTCAGCCAGTCATAGACCCAGGGTATAAAACCACATCCTGAGATGATCCACGTTGAAAACACATGCTTTCAACAGCTTTCAACACCTGGAATAAGCGGGAACATCCGAAGTGGATGCTGGTGCCTTGTGAAGTTGTGTCCCGAAAGGGCACCTTGCTGCCCCAGCAGCACTGAGTTCTTTCCATCACTTTTAATGGGTCTCAGTTGTGTCATTAAAAGTTTCTAAACTTCTGCAATCTTAACCTCTGAAAAGGCTCCAGGGGGTTTGTTGTGCCACTGCAACGCCTGGGGACAGGAGCTATATTTGCCCTTTCCTAAACCAGGTATCAAAACCAGTGTTTATTCCTCTGTGGGGCTCAGACCGGTGCAGAAGTGTCTAAAAGCAGTAATTGGCAATTTAGAGGTGACTCACTCCTGGCCCGTGGGAGGTCAGACTGTTTCTGCCTGTGCTGTCGAGAGCCCATGCCCATTGCACAGATCCTGGTGAGGGGCTGTCCCCAAGGCTGGAGGGTGAGCAAGGGCTCAGCTGGGCTGGTACCTGCCAGGTCCCATGTCCAGTGGCACTGGGAGAACCCCCTGGTCTCATTCTATACCATCCAAGACAGACAGACAAAACCTGATGGCTGCATGTCATGGAGTGACTCCTGCTGTGGTGACCGTACCACCAGCTGGTGACGGTGGTGCTGGCAACCATCACATCCCTCCAGGAAGCTCTAACGCATGGTCACTCCAGGCAGGTTGGGTGGGCTCAGGTCCCGAGCAGCAAGCAGGACCTGGCTCGTGCTGAAATCAAAATGTCGTTCTTATGATAGCCAGTGCTACGCTTAGAACCAGAGAAGATCCGATACAGTCACATTTTATTTTTAAAAGAGGACAAAGTGGAAAGTCAAGAGGATTAAATATCACATATGGCACAGAGGTTGTCTGGAAAGACCAGCTTAGCTTCACTCTGAGCACTTAAGCTGATATTAGCAAATACAAAACCTAAACAATGTTACAAAGGGAAAGCCTAAAAGTAAACCAGCACAATTAAATCAATTTAAAGAAACTGTTCAGAAATAAGACAAATGTTCTTTAACTTGCTGAAACTGCATCCACATGAAGACAGTAAAATGACCTCTGATAAGTTAACATACAACCATGTAAGACAAAACAAAGGAAGGCACCAGAATTTGGCCCCTTGCTCCTCTACTCTGAGGAATAACATCTGCACTTACGTACATTCCTTTCTTCAGAGGCACCAAGAAATTTAACACTAGAAAATATCTGACCAGTAGCCAGTCAAATTCAGAGTGAGTGTTCAAAGAAAATAACCTGATAGAAAAGTGAAGAAAATCTGCATCCTTGGCTGAGGAGGAGCTTTTGTGGATCCCCAGGCTAGATGATCTCTTTTGCAAACACCTGAAAAGGTCTGTCCTAACAGTGCAGAAGTGCAAGTGAGTAGTAAGGCAGAGGAGATGACATTTCCCGTGGAAGTAAATCAGGAATGAAAAACTTTTCACTGCAGCATTTCATCTGCTGCTTAGGCTCACATTTGCTACCCCTGGTTTTCACTGGTAGACTAGAAAAAGCAAATATGCTGTATTTTAAAGAGGTTGTCAGTGGTAAAAAAGACTACAGACAAGTAGATCTACTATGCAGTGAGGGCAGATACTCACAAAGGCTGTAATAAATGGCAGACCTGGCTGATTTATGGACAAATTATGTCACGGTAGACCGAATTCAACTTTTGCACAGGAAAATCACATCTCAGAAATACAATTTCTGGAGGAGTCAACAAGATATGAGAGTTGGACATCCCCTGGTCAGGTGGGAAAGGTCTTTATCAAAGCTTACAGGGGACAAGCTGCCATAAGCTAGGGAGGAAGAACACCACTTGAATAGATGAGTGGCTGAGAGAAAATGGGGGGAAGATCATCCAGGGAGATCACTGTGGAGACACGTCTTGTAAAAACATCTCATCCACATGCAACAACTGCCAAAGGTGGCAGCATGAGGAGAAGTTAGGAGAAGATCAGGGAAGAGGACAAGGCACCCTGTAAATCTAAGCTGCATCCAAACCCCCCGAGCTGGGTGGAGATCCAGGTCTGGTCACCCAGCCCCAGCAGAGACACGGCCTAAGCAAGGGAGAGAGAAGGCTGAGAGGCAGAGCTGGGAGAGCAAGGAGAATTGCTAAAGATTTAAAATCTGAAACAGCATGAAAATGATGACTAGAGAAGAGAAATAGTCTCACATCACCAGCAAGCACCGCAGCCATCAGCTGTGAGTCTCCAAGTTGCATCAAAGGCAACCTTCCAGCACCTTCCTTGCCCCAACACCCCTCTGCTCTCTCCAGCAGCTGGTTGGGACGCAGGTGCCTGGGCTGATCTCCGCTGCACCAGCCCGGTCCTTGCCCGCCCATCTCACCAGTGTGCTTCCACAGTGCCTGGCCAAGGACCTGCAGGTGAAACCACTGCGACAAGCCAAAGGGAGTGCAGAGCAGGTGGTGAAGCTCCTTGCTGCAGGGTGCCACCAGTGCCAAGAAGTTGCCTCACCCCAGGAAGCCCTTAGAAACATTCAGGGAAGAAATGTCCCATGTCCTTAAATATACAGTACAGGTAAAACCCTCTTTTCACCCTGTCCTTTCCTGCTTCTCCTTGCCCCTGTACCTGCCTTGTTGAAGGTGGGGTGCTGGGAGAGGGGCTGCACAGTCTGATGAGCATTGAGCGAGCAGCAGGTACAGGGACAGGCTTGATGGACTGTGGGGGGCTGCAGTGGGGATCCCTCCACCTGCTCTGCACAGAGGGGACTCACACCCAGAAAAGATCTGAAATTACAACCTCTGTGCAATGTACTCAGGACATGGGGAGAAAACAGACAGACAAAAGGAGTGGAAAATGCTGGTGGCAGAGAGAAATGACCTCACCGCTGTCTGGCAGGGTGATGCCTGCACATGGCAGGAAGGAAATATTTGGCTGGAACATGATGTGGAGACATCGGGATTTGCCATCACACAAAGCCCTTGGCAAAGGGCGTTGTTGGCAGCAGGATGTTTTCATCTGTTTTAGTACATCTACCAAAAACAAGCCTCGAGGCAAAGCTGCATGTCGGCCTGGCACTCTTGGGAGCACTGCAGATGCTGAACTGTTCCAGTCCAAATTGCCAGGGAGAATTCCCACTGGAAATGCTGGGCTCCTTCCAAAAAGGGTGGATATGACACTGGGTTGGGAAGTCCTAGTGAGGTCCTTTGCCCTGCTGCTGCTGGGACATGTCCAGCTCTAGTTATTCTCAAGATCAGGAGAGGCAGCTTCCCAAATGTGTTTTGCCAGTCTGTGGGAGGAGGAAGAAGCACTGAGGAACATCGCAAGGTGCTCAGCTGCTGGGATGGCACCTTCCAAGGGTACCTGCTACTGTCGTGCAGCAGCAAGGCAGATCCCAGTCTGAAATGAATGTCCGGGTGACTGGCTGGGGATGGGCAGGGAGGGGCAGGGTGGAAAGGCCACCAGAGAGGATTTTGTTTTCCAGGAGAGGTGCGAGCTTCTTCATACTCTGCCAGACCTCAGTGCCTGTGAGCACTGCCTGAGCCCTGGAGATGAGCACGCCTGAGTTGGCAGGACATTGATGGGGCATTGATGGGGACGTGGGTTACCCTGGGTGGGTGCTGGTTTCTCCCAGGTGGATTTGAGGAGCTGAACAGAGTAGGAAGGGAAGGATGGAGTGGGTTTTCAGAAATATAAATTCAAAGGAAGACAGTCTCTGAAGGCAGATGTCCACTACCACCAGATAATTTGACTCCAGTGGGGGCTTTCTCTGCCTAGTGCCCAGGGTCAGACACCACGTGCCAGGTTTGGGTCTGGAGGATTCAGGCATCCACCTTCCACCTTCTGCCAGCCCTGCAGCACTTGGCCCAGCCTGAGCTGGAGGACGAGCAGGGCTCCAGGAGAGCAGGGGGCTGCAATCGCAGCAGGGCAGGTGGAAGGAAGGTGAGTTGGGTGGTGACAGGCATTGCAGTCCTCCAAACTCCAACCTCAATCTCTGTGACCAAGTGCCGTGGCCTTTCTCCAACCAGCCCCTTGTTCCCACAGGATTTCCAGCCTCACCGCACCCCTTGCCTCACTTCTTCCTGGCCATGGTCCTGCCCCATGGGGAGGCACCCAGGAGGGGAAATCCGGGTGGTCTCCAAAACTGCCCTCACTTGGGTGAGCTCAGCCCAGAATTGCCCCTGGCTGCTCACCATCCACAGACCCTAGGAGGACAACAGAAGGGACCACATGCCTGAGCACCCCAGGTTCTCCCCAAACAGCTACACCAAGCTTTGGGGTGAGTTTCTGTTTATTTGGCAAAAAGGAGGGCCTATACACTGGAGGAGCAGGGGATGTGTCAGAGCCTTGAGTACTGAGCTCGGAAAAGGGATGATGGAGTGGCAGCCTGAAGCTTCAGTGCATGGGTCTTGCATCACTCAGCAGAAGCATCCACCAGCCAGCCTGCACCTCCTAGAAAACAGTTGGAAGAGGTGGGCTGAGTATTTGAGGTGAGGAGGCCAATGGAGGGGGCCGAGCAGCTCTCTCCATCAGGATCAGTGCATTCTCTTCCAGTTCTCCCCAGCTCTGTAGGGTGAGCCACCTTCAGTAATGGATTTCTAGAGAACTCCTACAACTGAACGTGTATCAGTGTGGTGGATATGCCAGGGTAGGACAACAACAGACATGTTTTGTATGGTGAGACATGAACCCAACCTCTGACCTGTTATTCTGGTCCACAACCCCAAGGCCCCTTTTGGCAAGAGCTGGTGTCCCAGCCCTTGCTGCTGGATGAGCTCTGCAGCTGTTTCTCCACTGAACCAGTAGTTTCAGTTCAAGTGCCCTTGTTCACCGCCAAGCAGCTGCACTCTGGGGGTCCCCTCTGCAGAGCAGCTCTGAAGGGAATGGTCCTACCTGGGTGAAGCTCCAGCACAGGTTCAAAAAACTCAGCTCCCCAGAGTAATTCAAAGAGTTCATGATGGCCCTTGCTGGGGCACCAAGGAAGGCAATTTCCAGCTGAGGACATTGCAAACATCGTGTTGCACTGCAGCAACTCACCTATGCTTCATCGAGGCTGCATTCATCTGTGAAAATAAAGAGAAAGGCTGAGTCTGGAGCTGTGGTCTGGCTAGTCCCATTTAGCACCCAAAACAGACAACCCAGGAATGAACCTGAGCAAGGTGAAAGCCATGGCATGCCAAGTCAGAGTGGCTCTTGCTACCAGCACTTTCTCCTGCCAGCTCAGACCACAAAGTGGTGGCAGTGATGGGCCGAACTGGCCCCTGCTGATGTGTCCTGGCTCCCCACATTGACCAAGACAGCCCAGCATGGTGCTGGGCAGTGCTCACCCTGGCTGGGCAGCATCCTGATCATCTCATTGGTGAAGCTCTTCTCCCTCGCCAGCTTCTTGAACAGCGCTGTGATTTTGGGTCTCACCTGCCGGGTTCTGCCTAAAGGCAAAGACATGAGTTAGCTCCAGGCTGTGGCCTGTCTCTGCAGCTCCTGGGCAGCTGGTGTGTGCGCCCAGGCAAGGACAGGAAGGATGACAGTCCCTGGGAGAAGACTGGGGGCAGTGGTGGTCCTGGAGAGAGGTGGTGGCCAGGCACATGAGTAACCTCTCCCAGTGAACAAGAGAAAACACCAGCACAGTGTCTCCTCTCTGGTTCCCATCCCCAACTTTTCTGCACCCCTTGAAGGAGGACCCCTGCTCTTGGCCCCATTTCACCAAGCGACTTACCCAAGGCCATGCACAGTGCAGAAGCCCGAGCCCCAGCCTCCCCTGCCAGCCCCAGATCACTGCCCTTTCCCCTGCCACACACGGAACAGGCGGCAGCGCCAGCCCTGCTCCTGCACCCCATCCAGCGCAGGAGGGCAGAGTGAGGAGGGGGCCTCTCCCATGGGTCCCCCGACTCTTGGACTCTCAGGACACTACAGAGCACCCTGACACCTCCGATCCATTCACTCCAGTCAAACCACCGCTGGTTACGCACTGTAAAGCCTCAGCATATGCAAGGTCTTCCCGTCCTTCTCTCTGGAGACAAAGATAACTGCATAGGTCTTGCCATCTGTATGCACCACCCGCACTATTTTATTATCTCTGTCTGCAAAAGGACATGAAGAAAAGCAAAAATATTGATCATCTCCTCTGGAGAACTCCCACACTGCCAGAGGGCTGTAAGTCAGGATGTCAGGGTCCAAGCCCACCCAGCCCGTCTGTCTTCTCTGTCTCCCCCTCCTGGTTTTCTCTGTTGCTAATGCTCTTCTGAAAGCCTGGGGGAGCCCACAGATCGCAGCAGAGCAGAGGGACAGGAACGTGAACACAGGAGAGTCTGGGGACGGTCACTGCCGACAGCAGAGTAGCCCGGCTGGTGTCAGACTAACACTTGGGCTGTGGATAGTGGGAAACCACTTGGGAACATCCATCCACAGCCCCTTTGAAGAATGAACCTGCTTTCCCCCTGGGTTTAAGATTGGTCTGAACAAGTCTTATCCCAGAGCAGCTTCCCAGAGGGAGGGGGCAGGGGGGGTCCGTCACACTGGTGGGACACCAGCCCTGGCACGGACTGGCTCTGGGATGCTGCTGGCAACCGACCGCAGAGGGATGTCCCACCCAGGACCTGAGGAGAGGCAGGCAGGCACCCCCTGAGGGCCATGTCCCCAGGGACAACCATCTGCTTCAGACAGAGATGATGGGAAGCGCCTCTGCCCCATGCCGGTGGCAGGGGTCCCCACACTCACCAGAGCTGTAGTATTCACCGGGGATGCCTGTTTGCCTGTAGATTGCCTCCGACTTCTGACATCCCTCCGCGCTGCAAAACAGTGAAGGATGCTCTGGCTGAAGTGAACCCCCTTCCCCTCCTGTGGGATTGCTGGCTCCAGGGTCACTACCCCAGACGTGGGACTTGCTGTTCAGGGATGGGATGGTGTGTCTAGGGCAGGAAGGGGACAGATGCCACCCTTGGAGTAATGGGTGCCTGGGCTGGCAGGGCATGGCACTGGCACCTGAGGATCATCCCGTGGGGTCACAGAGCTGTTCCTTGCTCATGCTCTGAGTTTCTGGGATGAGGCTGGTCCTGCTGGGAAAGCTTTAAACGTAGAGTCCCTTAACACTCTTGCTGCATCCCTGCTGGGAGCAGTAGAGTGTCTCAACCTCTGTGGTGGGACTGCTCCTGTCTGGTGCTGCCCAGAGCCTGTCTGGCCTGCCCAGAAGAAGGACTCCCCACAATGCAGCTCTGCTGAGACCCCATCTTAAACCACAGGGCTGGTGGTCCTGCCTCACACCCTGCCCAGGTCTCTGATGGGTGCTGGGTGGAGGCACCCAGGTGGAGATCCACTGGTGAAGGTCCAGGGAGGTCAGTCAATGAAGCTCATAGAGGAAAGCGCTTGGTACTTACGTGGGAATTGCAAAGGAGACCTTCAGGTTTCCCTCTCCCAGGACAGCAATATTGGCCATCGCCATCTTCAGCTTGTCTTTCTTTTGGAGGTAGCTCTCAGAGTCGGAGGCCAGAGCAGTGATGTACCATCTCCCTGCAATCTGGCAGTGAGGGCAGGCTGTGAGTCTGGAGGAGCAGGCAGGGTCTGTCCCCTCCTCGGTGGCCAAGTTGTGACACCCTCAGGCCATGGACACCTGCATCCCCTCTGGGCACCAAAATCCCCGATGGGACACCTATGCTAGAGCTGGGTGACTGCACTCACCTGGGTGTGGCAGCAGACCCAGCAGTGCCTGTGGTGTCACCAGCTGTCCCCAGTACCAAAACACTTCTCCAGTCCCCACTCTGGTGACCAGAGGCTGCGCTCCCACCTTCCCTTCCCTGGGCACCATGGATCACCTTGCTCTTGTCCAGCCCCACAATCCCAAGGTTCTCAGCCTCCACGTGCAGCAGGCAGAGCAGGGCCAGCACCAGGCTCAGCCCCATGCTCCTCATCTCACCGCCTCCAGCTACACCAGCAGGATGGAGAGTGGTGCCAGGGCTGTCAGTTTTATAGTGCTGTGCTCTCCCCGCCTCTGCCTGCCCCAGTGCTGCTGCGTGCTGAGCTGCACGGATAGTGCTGCTGGTGTTGCCTTGGGCGAGGTGGTGGTTTTGAAGGGTTAAAGTCACCCTGGGGTAAACAGCTTCCCACCTTGCGAAAGATGGGAAGTGCCTGCAAGCCCCAGAATGGGCTGAGAATTGTGGTTGCAGGAGCTGTTGCACCAGTGTTGAAATTTAGGATTTTCCCGGTTTCTTTAGTCGCTAGTGAAAGAACAGAGGGTTTTTGTTTTTCCAGCTGGCTGCCTGAGGGCTGCCAGGAGGAGCAGGGAGGTGCTTCCTGGTATGGGCCAAGCAGCACCATCACTCAGTGACCGGACTCGGTGACACATCCCTCTGGCCAGGCTGGCATCTGCCCAAAGGCTGCTTCTGGGATGGTGCCCAAACCCAGGTGTCTGCATGCTGCCAGCATGGCCTGACCACATGGTGCCCATGCAGGCTCGCCCACCTGCTCTGGGGCACTCAGGGTCCACAAAGCAGGATCCACCCGGAGCAGGGCAGGCAGAAGGGGTTTGTGACACTGTGGGAGTGTGTCCCCTCCTTCCCAAGGCGTGATGTCCCCTGTGCCCTGGCTCTGGCAGGACCCCTGAAAGGGTCCATGCTGCTTCCTCTCTGTACCTGGCTTGGTACCGAGGGACCCCCACTCCAGGGCAGGGGGGAAGTGGGGTGGACCAGTGTCTGCCTCCGCTCTGCAGGAGGTGGAGGGGGATGGATGCTGCCCTTGGGGGTCATGGCAGCATGGTTCTACCTTGGTCAGTGGGCAGATAGATCAAGGTGGGCAGATGGGATCAAGGGGGATGGGAGACAGGCATGAGGGTCCCAGTCCTGGTGTGCATTTACCCTGGGCACCCATGGCACAGACCCACTCCCATCTGGGTGGCCCACAGAGAGGGGAATTGAGCAGGGAATGGGGTGTCCTAGTGATGAGCTGCCTGCCAGGAGCCAGAGCCCATACAGGCAGGGCTGGGGAGCCTGACTGCTTAACCCTGCCTGCCCAGACCTGCTGTCCACCCAGCTAAGCTGAGAAAACCCCTGTTCATCCCAGCTCAATTCTCCCCTGCTCACTTCCCTGGCAGCTGCCAGACTGCAACTTTCACCTTTCCCATCCTCTGCTCCTCATACTCCCCATGCTGGGCAGAGCAAACAATGCCCCTGGGGTGCTGAGAGGAAAGGTTGGATCCAGGACTGCTGGTCTCAGGGTGCCTGGGGACCTTGGCAGCACCCCTGCTCCCATCAACAAAACACCAAGCACTGGGACAGCTTCTGCATCCATTTATTTAGGAGAGCAAGGTGTGATCCTGGTGTGGGACAGCGGGTCTGGCAGATCCTGGCTGAGGAGAACAAGAAGGGGCATGGAGCAGGGAGCAGAACCTGGTTTCCACCAGGTCTGGAGGACACACAGCCCTGGAGTTGGCCCCTTCAGCTGCAGGGAGGCAGGACAGATGGACAAGTGGTTAGAGCAGGGGAAAGCCAATGTGATGCAGAGCATCGAGGCAGGTAAGGGGCTGGCTCCCTGGGGGCTGCAAGTCCCTGCTCAGCCCAGACCATGCTGAGAGGGAGATCTAGCTTCCCCTGTCCATGCTCACCTGGTGGCCTTGGTGCACTGATCTGTTGAAAAGCAAAGAGATGGGTGAGCATGCCATGGGCAGTACCCCGAGCCCCTGTGCAGTGTCCCCATGCAAAGGGGCTGTGTGTGTCACCCCGTGCCCTCCTGGCACTCACCTGACTTGGGCAGGATGGCCAACATGTCCTTGGTCAGGCCCATGATGGGAATGAGCTCTTCAAACTTCTGCAGGAGCTGGGGGCTCATGTCCTGATCCCTTGCTGCAGCCAGGGAGCAGAAGTGGGGACTCATGAGTGTGGGGGGACTGTGGGGAAGCAATGGGACCCCAGGGAAGGGCAAAGGCAAAGCCATGGAGGACCCCACAGCCGTCCTGGGTGGGCAGCAAGAGGGCACAAGCCCCTTGGGATGACTGACCCACCTGCCTCAGCGGGTATGGGGCAGCTGGCAGGGCTGGGGGTCTTTGGTTCAAACCGCAGGGGAGCTTTGGTTCAAACCTGCTTTCAAAAGCAGGGGAGCTTTGGTTCAAACCACAATCAACCGGTGATGTTCCGAGTGCAAGGTTTCATTCATCCCAAAATTAATTCCCTGGGTGTCAGCACATTGGGTTATGACATATGTGACCTTGAGGGGTGATGGGGAGCCCAGTCCCTGCCCCCCATCAGTGCCCGTATCCCTCCCTGGGGAGTTGCGGGTGCCCATCCCCACTCCTGGCACCCACTGAGGAGCTGCAGCGCAGTGATGGGCTCCTGCCCTCTTTGCTGGAGTTCGTGCACGATGGCGTAGCAGCTGTAGTCCGTCTCCATCACATGCAGTTCCCTCTTCTCTTGTGCTGCTAAAGGACCCCAGATGGTGCCCGGTTGGGCCATGTGGCACAGCCTGAGCACTCCTGTGACCCTTGCCAGGGCTCACAGCTCAGGACCCGAGCCCCAGATTTGCCTGAGGGGGTATGAGAAGGGTACGCCTGTGCCATCTGGCAGAGCTGGGTGCCCACCCACAGCACCACCTCTTGCCAAGAGATGGAGGCAGAGGGGCCAAACCCTCCTCCTGCCACTCCCCAGGCGTGGGAGACCGGTGATGCCCACCCTCCATTTCAGGGTGCCCGTGGCCCTGATCCCCCCTCCCCACACGTACCCATGTAGTGGCCCGCCTGCCCACTTCTCTGGAAGAGCAGCTCAAACTTTTGGCATCTGTCCATCCTGGAAAGGGAAAATGGAAACAGCAAACATGGCTGAATGCCATGTGGGAGGGCAGCAGGGTGGTGGGCACAGAGGGGAGCCCAGCCTGCCTGGCACACATGCCAGGGTACAGGCAAGACCAGGTGCCACAGGCTGTGGGAGGATGCTCCTCACCCAGCTGCCTTGGAGGGGAGGGGAGTCCCCTGCCCCAAGCAGAGGGGACACTCACCAGGGCCAGACAAGCTTCATAGCCAGGTCCCCCTCTGGCGTGAAGCTGATGGTGGTGATGGATGACTTCATCCCATCCTTCATCTTCAGGAACACGGAGCAGTTGGAAGCAGCAGCTGTGACATGCCATGTCCCCACAAACTGCAGTGGGACATCACCAGTGGGGTTTGGGAAAGCCATGGGGACCTGCCACAGGCCAGGGGGACCTGCCACCCACCATGTGGGACCTGCCAGCCCATTGTAGGAACCTGGCAGCCTGCACTGGGGCACCTGCCACCCTCTGTGGGGACAGCCAGCCTAACATGGGGACCTACCACCCACCTGCGTGCAGAACACCTGCCCTGCCCCATGCCGGGAGGGCGGGCGCAGTGTTTGGCCCCTGTTCCCTGGGAAAGCACCACATGCTCAGGATCATCACGGCCCCGGGTGTTCATGTCCCTGCAGTGGGGCCACCACTGGGGCTGGAGCCAGGACTAACCCAGTTTTGCACAGGCATCCATGCTCTCCTGGAAGCTGCCCTGGTGTCACCTCAGGGCTGGGACTGGGGGTGCCCGGGGATGCCCAGCTGTGCCTGGGGACGCAGCATGGGCACCCTGCCCCAGGCAGCCCCTCCAGCCCATGTGGGACTGGCTGGGCGGGTGTCCTGTGCCGTTACCTTCTCGGCGTTGAAGCCCGGCTGCACGGGGACCTCGGCCCCTGCCTGCAGCAGGCTGAGCAGGGCCAGTGCTAGGCTGGGCAGCACCGCTGTCATCTTTCCTCCGGGGACTGGGTGCGGGCAGGAGAAGCTGCATGGATCAGCCTCCTCTCACACCCACCTTTATAGCCCCCGCCGCTGGCAGCAGCCCCTGCCCGCCTCTGCTTTATGCAACAGGTTACACAAGAGCAGGGATAACTTGTACCCGTGTTAGGTGACAGTTGGCCCCTTCCCCCTCTAATTGCCTAGTCCTGGATGAATACAGCTTTGTGTGAGACCCAGCCCAGAGCATGTCAGGGACCAGTCAATGCCCCGTGCCTGGTGCTGTGTCTGGGGAGGGAGATGAGGATGCCCCCAGTGCCCCACTCCTGGCTGTTGCCCACTGACCCCAGGGTCTGGCAGTGCTGGGACGGGTCCTGCCTCAAGGAGGAAGATGGTAGGGATGGTGTTTTAGCCCAGGGTTGAGCCACAGTCCAGTGCCCTCCAGAAGGGGTTGCAGCTTCCCAGGCTGCTGGCAGTGGACCCCACTCCCAGAGAGGGTCCAGGCTCATGGACCAGGCTCATGGCATGGAGAGCATAGACAGGCAGCCAGGGTTGAGCCACATCCAGTGCTAACAGCTGTTGCTCTGGTTCATGTCCATCCTGCCCCCACCTTTTTGAAGAAGCCCCCACTGCAATTACCCATCACTCCACCTCCATGCTGCCAGGCTGCTTTTTCCAGGGAAACAGAGGCAGTGAGGCTGGGTTAACTCAGGGTGCCCGAGGGGGCATATGGGAGCGGATCCACCCCAGCAGGTCCCAGCCCTGGGGACCTCTTCTCCCTGGACTGGGCAGGTTTGATGGCCCAGCAGCACTGTGGAATGGGATTGCAAGTGTACATGGGGTCCCACCGTGGCAGCCCCACAGCCAGGAGCTGGGATCAGCCCTGACCCCCAACACCAGCCCCAGCCCTACCCACCACCATCAGCCGTGCTTTCACCCCCCCATCGCCCCACTGGGGCTCCCCCACAATGATCCAGCAGACAAGGTCAGGGGACTGGGTTTATACGGGCTTTAATGGGCAGAGGGGTACAGGTGTGAGGGGCAAAGCCAGGGAAAAAAGGCTGCTGTGGTGCTGGGGGTTGCTGGGGACAGGATGGGATGGGGCCGCCACCGGCTTGTGGCGCTCTCAGGGCTCTGGCCGGCAGCAGCTGGTGGGTCTATCTGGAAGAGATGGAGGAGTGAGTGTGGGGATGAGGTGAGGGAGATGGGGGGGGCACAGGGGGGGACATTAGCCCTGCCAGCCCTGCGCTGAGTGGGTGGGCACCCACCTCCCAGGGCCTGGGGCAACAGAAAAGCCACCCCATGGGGATGGGGTAGGGGATCCTCGCCAGGGATAAGGGGGACCCCAGGAAGAGGAGCAGCCTGGGGAGGCTGGGAAGGGATGGGGGCTTTGTGGGCTGGAATGGCTCTGAGCAACTCCCGTACCCCACCCCTGAAGGGCTGGTCTGAGCATCAGCAAAAGCAGGACTCACCTAGGCAGCATCTGCCATGCATTTGTCTGCAGGAGGAAGAAAAGCAGAGATCAGCTCTTCCAGGGGCTGAGGGATGACTGCCCCCCCCCCCCCGAGGGGCTCTGCATGGGGCTCTGCCCATCAGCACCCTGCAGCTGGCCCCAATGCCAGCCCTGCAGGAAGGCAGGGAGAAGGCAGGAGGGTCTCCCTCCTAACTCAGCCCCACAGGGTACCTCAGCCCCTCTCCCTGCCACTCCCCTGCCCTTCCAGCTTCTCACCTGTCTGGGGCAGGATGAGGATCTCTTCATCCATCAGGCCCTGCTCCCTGGAGAACTGGGTGAACCTCTCCAGGCGCTCAGGACTGAGCTCCTTTGTCCGGCCTGCAGAGAGAGCAGAGTGAGAGGCAGCCCCCCCCACCCCTCAGCGAGGGGTCATACTGCCCCAGGGTGCAGGCAGCCCAGCAAAGGGGTCCTGACCCAGCCATCCCATGGCTCACCCCAGCTTGGGAGATGACGCTGTGCTGCTCCCATGGGAGAGATCCCCCACCAAGGACATCCTGGGGGACCCCAGGGTGACAGTGGAGTGGGCAGCACGGGGGTCTCAGGGCAGACTTACTGTAGAGCAGCACCATGGTGGAGGAGCCAGTGCTCTTGGAGATCTGGGTGGCCACCAAGGCATACTCATCGTAGTTGGTCTCCACCACGCGGATGTCGTGCTTGCTGCCCCAGCCTGCGGGGGACGGGGAGGGCACAGCTCAGCCCCGAGGTGCTCCAGCGAGGGCAGGAGCAGGTGACAACAGGGCTGGACTGGGAGCTGAGGACACATCAGGGGCTGCCCCACAGGAGGATGGGGTGAGAGCTGGGGACTCACGTGGGCTGGTGTAGCTGAACCGCCCTGGCTGCTCCGTCTTAGTGTAAAGGCTGTTCCTCTTCTCGCACTGGTCACCCCTGGGGAGCAGAGTGTGAGGACATCAGAGGGGCTGTGGGGGACGCTCCAGCCCACACATAACTCCAGGCAGGGCACCATGGGGGAGCACCCCCTGCTCACCGACCCCCCTCCCCATGCCCGTACTTGGGGTAGGTGGAGGTGACTTCCAGGTTCCCATCTGCAGTGACGGAGATGACTGTGGTGCACATCTTCATCAGGTGTTTCTTCTCCTTGAACCAGTTGGAGTTGGAGGCCAGGCCGATGCTGTACCATCTTCCCGTGAGCTGCATGCAAACTTCTCTCAGCTGCCAGCCAGGCACAGACCCTGTCTCACCCCTTGGCCACCCACCAGCCCCGGTCCAGGCCACGTCCCCCTCCCCTGCCAGCCTGCGTCCCACAGCAGGGTGGTGCCCTGGGGTCCTTGTTGCCCAGGGAGCTGCTACAGCTCTCAATGTACACAAAACCCACCAAGACATGGTTTACGATGTGCCCTTCACTGCCTGGCACTTAGGTGTTTCTTTCCTCTTCACACCAAGTCTGGGGAGTGGGTGACAGGACTGCCTGGCTCTGAGATGCCATTTCCATCCGTCTGGCAGCACAAGGAGGGGTCAGGACTCCGGGGCCAGTATGGGTCATCCCAGCCTGGTCCCTGGGGCTACCAGCTTGGTGTACCCAGGGGGAAGCTGTTGGCCTTGGAGATGGGCTGTTCTGGGACAACCCTTTGCAGGACACGCCAGACCCCCACCGTTGCAGGACATGCCTCCATACCCATCACCTTCCTGGGGTGCCTGTGCCCCCCAGGACCCCTCTGAGGGCTCCCGGAGGAGCAGGCAGAGTGGCCCCTGCCTCAGATCCGTGGGAGCCCAGGGTTGTGGGGCCAGGCCTCCCAGCGTGCAGCTGGGCTGGGGCTGTCCTGCTCTGCATCCTTCCCATCATGGGGGAGGAAGGGGAGTGCCAGCACCCTGAGCATGCCAGCATCCCGGGGTGGGAGGGCAGAGGAGTGTGTGGGACACCCTAGCACAGCAGCCCTTAGTTTTTTAGAACCTTGGGCTGGAGGGGATGGGGTCCGTGTTGGGGAGGCGGGTCTACAGCCCATCTCCATGCTGCCTGTCAAACTTAGATTGCTTTTTCTCAGTTCTCAAAATAAAACCCCTGTGCATCTACACCCACAGCACAGCACAGGAGGTGGTCTGGCCCCACACCTACTCAGTCCTGCCCCACAGGCTAGAGCCTGGATCCTGCATCCCCCCTCAGAGCCACCAAACCCAGGCCCCAGGGGCTCCCCAGGGATGGGTGCTCTGGCCACCCTGCCCCTCCCAGCGCTGGAGCCAGCCTGGCCCCAGTTCCTCCTGCAACAACCTCTGCTCATATTTTCAGGGTGAGGATCCCCCAAAACACCCCAAATCCCCATGCAGGGGATACCGGCCAGGCTGGGTCACCTTGTCCTGCTGGAAGTCAGTCTGCACAGGAAAGCTGTCCTGTGCGTGCAGTGCCCCGAGCAGGGCCAGCCCCAGGATGCTGAAGAGCGTGGCGTGCATGTCTGCCACCCGAGCCGAGCCGAGCCGAGCCGAGCCGAGCCGAGCCGAGCGAGAGCAGCAGGCAGAGTGCTGCAGTGACGGAAAGTCAGGCAAGCCCCTATTTATGGGCAGGCTGTGCAATGGCCCCGGGGGGCCAGCCCTGCCTCCCCCCCCTCCCCGTGCCGTTATGCAAGCAAGAGCAGGGGCGAGTGCCGAAGCCAAAGGGCAGGCAGGGGAACCTGCAAATGTTTCCCTCCTGTTGATATGACATGTTTGCTTTGGGGTGCCAAACTAACTGCTCAGCAGCAAAAATACGGCTTGCAGCCAGCACAACGGCTGTCCCTGCCCCCAGCGCCGCAGAGCAGGGGGCCAGTGCGGGCAGCTGGGGCTGCCCACAGGCACGGGCAGGGGGCCGGGACTGGGGGCCAGGGCTTGCTGACTGCCCCATCCTTGCAGGATGGCCTCACTCAGACACAGAGAGGGGCTCGAGTGATGTGGAGGAAATGACAAGTGCCTGCCAGGTCCTGATCCAACCCATGGGACTTGTGGGCACCTTTGGGTGCTCCTGCAGGACCCCCCGCCTTGCCCTGACCTGAGTCCCTGCATCACCCAAGGAAGCATCTCGACTGGCCCCGGGTGTGCCCACCCAGGCACAGCTCTGGTGCACCTCGATGGTGAGCTGGGGGGGGGGCTGGGGGTGTTGGGGGGGAGCCAGGCTCCAGCCTCAGGCAGCCCCAATGCCCAGCCCCTGGGGACCAGCACGGAGCCAGACAGACCCCCAGTGCCTCATCCCCCACGTGTCACCCGGCACCCTTGGCCAAGAGGAGCTGGAAAACATCTTCCCCCTTGGTCTAGGGTCAGCAGTGAGTGCTGAGCTGCCCTCCTTAATGTGGGGACACCCTGAGCACCCACAGGGTGAGGGCTGGGGATCAACACAGCAGCACCCATGGGTGTGGCACGCTTTGAGCAGGGCAGCCCAGCAGCTCTGCTTTACATAAGGAGCGTGTTTTCACAACAGCTGGTTTTTCCCTCTGGCAGCCCACCCTGCCGCCCAGCCCAGCACATTCCCTTCCCCGCGCCCAGCTGCGAGCCCGGCCTGGCCCTGCACACCACGCGCCAGGGGCCGGGCCGGCCCCAGCTCTGCAGATTTATTAAAACAAAACAAAAGCTGAGCTGGGCAGGACTGAGCATCATGAGAGCCTGGCTGGGGCCCCCCTGCATGCTGGGCTAGGGGCTTCACCTCTGTCTAAGCCCACCCTTGGGGTGCAGGGTGCCAGGAGGAGCTCGCTCCATCAGGCATCGGGGCACCCGTGGGTGTCTCTGTGGTTCTGTGCTGGGGCAGGAACACAAAGCCACCCTGTTCCCCGGGTGTCTCTGTCTCCCTGCCCAGCCCAGCAGCAGGAGGGGGTGCCCAGGAGGTGCCCGCTCTCTCAGCTCTGCTGGGGGTGGCAAAGCAGGGGGCCAGCCCAAGGAGTTGGGTGGCAAGCTCAGGAGCATGGGGGCACGCAGGGGCACACGGAGGTACTGGCAGCAGCGTGGGGGGCAGGCTGAGCCCACTGCTGGGGATGGGGGCATGGGCAGGATGGAGCTACCTGGGTGCCTTGACACAGACTCTTAGGCACAACCCAGGCATTTGCACCCCAGAAATGGGTTCATGCCAGATAAACATGGGCAGGGCTGAGATGGGGTGCAGGGCTCAGGGGGGTCCTTGGCACCAGCCCAGCTCCCCAAGGCGGGAGGGCAGGGCTCTCCCTTCGCCTCCCATCATCTTGCCATGGCTCCACCACTGCTCAGCCACCTCTGGGGTACGGGTGGGTGCAGGGCAGAAAGTCAGCTGGATCCATAACACCCTGACTCTGCCAGGTTCAACTGGGTGGCCCAGGGGTTCTGTGAGTGCAGCCGGACACGACTGCCCCGCACATGGGCAGCGGAGATGGGGGCAGGCTTCAGGCGAGTCACGTGGCGGTCCCTTACATAAGTCCCTGATAAACAACATGTGTTACCAGTTTCCGCTAAGATTGCAAAACGCCGGCGCTGGGGGCAGAGGGCTGTTCCCCGCCCCAGGAGCTGTAGGGTGGCCAGGGCACTGTACCAGCCTGCTGCTGGGGGCTGCCCTCCATCCCCTCCCACCACCCAGCCTGCACCGGGGAATTGGCACCACTTGCCCAAAACAGCCCAGTCCTGGCCCAAGTGCGTGGCAGGACAGACTCAGCCAGGCTGGACGTGCAGGCGATAGGGGTCCTGCAAGGGGCTGCAGGCCCAGGGTTAAGGCTGCAGTTACTCTACCCTGGTTGCAACCCTGGTCCAAGCCCCTACAGCCCCTGCAGTGTGCTCAGAGCATGTGAGGGGTGTCACCTGCCTGGGCCTGCAGTGGGGTGCTGGCTGTGCAGGCAGGGCCCTGGCCCAGGCAGCAGCCCCTTGGGGAATGTGGTCTGCAGGGCCAGGACAGGGGAGTGGGGTGTTTCACTGCCTCAGAGGCCCTGGGGACCAGCAGGACTACTGCAGGACCAAAGTTTCTTCCTCTGGGGTCCCCGAGGGATGTCCTGGCTTGTTTAGGCTGAAGGGCTCATCCTAAGCGGGTCCCCAGTGCCCCCCAAGCCCATGCGGCCCCACAGCACCAGGCACAGTGCTTTTCCCCAAACTGTGGTGGGCACCTGGGGCTTTCTGTCACTCACTGGGCAGACTCACACGAACTACAGCACCCGGGAGTAAACCGGAAACTGCCACAACCTCATGGCTGGGGGAGAGGATGATGGAGCCGTGTGGAGGGGGCTGTGTGGTCCCCCTGCACCCCCAGGACAGGAGCGCAGTGCCGGGGCACCAGCAGTCCAGAGGTGGAGACAGCGCTGGCCTTGCAGATCAAGGGGTGACTTGCCTGGACACAGACCCTTCTCCAAGGCATTTATTGGGGTGTTGCTGGCTACTGCAAGCAGAGAGGTGGCACAAAGCTGGGGGGGGGGGAACAGGACAAGGACAGGCACAACTTGCTGGTGCAGCTGGAGGAGCCGGGGAGCCCAGGGCTGTGGAGCAGCAGTGGGGTCTGGCCAAACCCTGGCTCAGCCCTGTGTGGCCATGAGTGGCTGGATAAGGCAAGGGCTGGGCTCTTGGCAACACTGTCTGCACCTACAGCTTTGTTTCTGGAAGGAAAAGGGAAGTGCTGAAGGGCTGGGGAGGTGTCCGAGCCCAGCGCCAGGGCTGGAGACCCACCTCTGCCTCCCCAGTCACCACCACCAAGTGATGGAGCTGCCCCTGGGACCCCAGTCCTCCCCCCAGGGTGTCCCTGTTCCAGGACACACCATCTCAGACCAGCCCTCACACCCAGAAAACACAACATAGACCCCACTAAGCCCTGCCTAACCCATGTGGGGGGTGAACAGGGCTTTGCTTTGCCAGGGTGCATCTGATGCCCATCCTGGGTAATGGTCTGCCACCTCCTCACCCCACACAAGGGCACAGAGGGACCCTGCCCTGGGGAATGGACCCCCCATGCTAGACCAGCCCCCTGGTACTCCTGGGGCCGGACCACACGGCCATGGTGTGGTGTGGGTCCAGCCTGCTGTGCCAAGCCCGCAGCCAGGGAGAGAAGAGGTGCTGTGGTGCCCAGCACATGGCGGGGACCCAGCACATCACCCAGGATCCACAACTCACCGTCGAGGATGTGAAACTCGTCTGCGGAGTCACAAAACCCTGAAAAAGAGAGAGCCTGGGCACTCAGGACCCCCCAGCCATGCACCGCAGGAACAGGGGCACAGCCCTGTCCTTGCATCTTTGTCTCTGGTGTGGGCGCAGCATGGGACAGACCCCAGGCATTGCCCTACTGTGGGTGACACGGGGCCACAAATTGCTCAAACCCATGTGGATGTGCCTCCCTCTCCCCATGCTGGAGGGCCTCAGTCCCCGCTGCCGGGCCCCTCCCAGGTGCAGCCCTTGCCATGGGTGCTCCCCGCTCCCAGGGGACAGTGTGCCACCCACCATATGTGGGGAAGTAGTAGGTCATGTCTTCACTCAGCCCCACAGCCCTGATGCACTGCTCAAACTTGTCTGCGATGGCGTCGCTGACCCGGCTGGTCCGTCCTGTGCAGGGAACGAGGTGCCATTAGCAACCTTGAGCCCTGCCTGTCCTTGCCCCAAAACTCCCCATACCCCCACATCCAGGCTCAGTGTCAAGGGGTCTTTCAGCTCACAGAAGCCAATTCCCCGTTCCCCCCCTGTGGCATCTGGGGACAAACTCTCCGCTTTGGGACTGGGCCCCATGGGGAAACCCCATGCCTGTCTGGGTCCCCTGGGGCTCTCGAAGGCATCCCCAGAGCCCAACACAGGTTTCCCGCCCCTCTACTGCCCCCATCCTTCATCTGCCACAAGCCCCTGGGTGCCAACCCACCATAGAGCTTGACAGAGATGCTGCGTCCCTTCTGGTAATAGAGGATGGCGTAGCTGCTGTGGTCCGTCTCACCCACCACCACGTCCACCTTTCTGCCATAGCCACGGCCTGGGAAAGATAGTGGTGGCAGAGGGCAGCCCCAGTTAGTTCTGGTTAAGCCTGATTAGCCCCTGGATCTCATTTTGCCAGGGCCAGAGTGGGTGCAGCTCAGCTGGAACCAGCCTGCATCGCTGTCTGTGATGGCACCTCTAGGGCACTTGAGACCCCAGATGTGAGATACGGGAGGGCAATGGGAAGGAGGATATTGGTACCAAAGCCCTGCTGAGAGCAGGAGAGGGGGGCTCCAGCTCCGTGGTCCCTGCAGACCCCATGCCACCTCAGCCTGGCCTTCCTCACCCTTCAGGAAGAAGCGTCCATGGGCCTGGGCAGGGAGGTAGCGCTGCCTGATTTCCCAGCATATCCCATCCCTGTATGGGGAGAGGAGGAGGTTGTTGGCACATGGTGGGGAGGATCCAGTCCAAGTCCCTGCTCACCCCACTTGCCAAAGCACACATGGGACCAGTTTTCTTGGGACTTTGTCTTCTCCAATAAGTGATGTCCCAGAGCCCCATGGAGACACAGAGCGCGGTGCAGAGCCTGAAAACCTGCTGAGCCCGAGGGGTCCTTGCCCCCTCCCTACAGCTCTGAGCCTGGTTCAGTCCCTCAGACCCCCTCAGGCCAGGGGGAAATGCCCACAGATGCACTGAAAATCCCCCTCCTCAGATGGGGTGGCCCCGAGAGCCAGTTCCTGGCTGGGCAGCCATGGAGGGACCATATGCCTACTTAGTACCTTGGTTTCCCTAGCCTGGCTGCCTCCCAACCTGCCCAGCCTAGGCAGCCCAAGCCCACCCTGGGCTGGTGGCTGTGTGGATGACAGGGTGCCAGCGCTGCACGGTCAGGGCTTCTACCACAAAACATCCCAGAGGAGATCCCACCCACACTTTGCTTTGGGGTAGCTCTCTCCTCCTTGGAGCTTGTGGCTGGGGCACTGGTCCTGCTCTGACCTGCCTGCAGCGTCCCCATCCCATCCAGCGCCACCCATTCCAGGGCACCGGCCCTGCTTCAACCTGCTCACAGCATCCCTGTCCGTGCCTGCAGCCTCAGTGGCCAGTATCACTCACAGCTTCCTGAAGGTGCTGATGGCCAGGCTCTGCCCATCCAGGACAGTCACCGTCACTGTCGTAGCCTCTAGCTGGTGGCTGTGCTCTGCCAGGTAGCTGCAGCGGGAGGCCATGCCGATCAGGAACCACTTCCCTGCGAGCTGCATGGCACGGGAGTGGCACTGTCTGCAAGGTCACCACCTCGGCTCCCACCACCCCTCTGCCCCAAGCACTGCGGTGCTGTCTCCACTTGCTTGGCATCTCTGCCCACAGCCTGGCCCCTTAGCGTGCCCACAGAGCAGGACTGCCCTTGTGTGGGGGCTGGCAGCTGGGACTGAGCAGGACAGACAGGAGCCTGGCATGGGGACAGGCTGGAGCAGAGGGGCTGCGCAGAGGGGTCTCCAAGGCATCCCCCCATGCCTCACAGTGCCAGGGAGGCTGCGAGCACCCCAGTGCAGCCCAGGGTGTGTGACGGGAAGCACTCTACTCCCATGGCATCCCCTGCAGCCCCAGCTCGCAGCCCCGCGGAGCCCCGAGCTCAACCAAGCCCTGGCTGGAGGCCAGTGCCCAGCGCAGTGGGGGGAGGCAAGTGCCAAGCCCCAGCCTGAGAAGGGCTGCACCAGCCCCGGGGCTGAGGATGGAGATGGCTGCCAGAGCCGCGGGCACGGCCGCCAGCCATGACAGGGGTCCCCAGAGAGGCTTCAGCCCCTGCCCCTGCCTCAGGAGGCATCTCTGTGGGCAGCGCCCAGTTTGTGCTCCTGGGTGTGGGGGCTCGGGGACAGGCTGCAAGGGCAGGTCTGGAGGGGGGGGCGCTGCAGGGTCAGACCTGGAGAGGGACAGGCAGGGGGACAGGCTGCAGCCCAGGGCGTAGGGCTGTGCCCCAGCCCCGGTGCGGGGTCGGCCGGGTGCCCACAGACCCGCCCGGCCCCGGCCCC